TCTACTTTTGCTGTGTTTCCTAGGCTACTGGCTTCACTCAGGGACATCAATGTATTTATCTTAATTTAAATTTGTTTATCAGTGACTTGATTAAACAGCCATAATCTGTCCTTAACCCATCAGACCAGTTTTTTTCCAACAGATTGCAGTTCGGGGAGCTGGATTCACTATGCCTGCTTTCCTTCTTCTTGGATGCTTGGGTTTGGTGTTTAATACTCCCAGAGGTTGGAGCATCAGGTCTTTTTGCATTTAGGTCTCTCTCCTGACGGCTGCCAGTGTGATGTGCCTGGTTCTGAGCATGGACCCTGCCTCACTGGAGCTTTTGTCCTCTGCGCTCAGAGGCTGGCCTGGACCCTAGCGTTGCTGCTCACCCTGACCTAGGGCTGGGGTTGGGCATAGGACTAGAATGAAAGGGTTAGAGGCAAGGAAAACAAAAATCAAAGAAAGTACTGTTCATACTTCTCCCCAAACACCTTTCTGGCCTTTGGAAATTGTACTAGAATATTTTTGCCTTTAATCTGGTAATTTCTTTGCAGTCTTAGTAGCAGGAAGTTCACTCTGTGAATTAGGCATGATTTGCAGGAATGGTGGAAGACTCCCAGTATTTGGGGACCCAGTGGCTTACACTGCTTTAGAGTTTGGGTTTAATTTGATGGGAATGGATCAAGAGTGATTTTTGCAGACAGCGGTGCTCCTAGGAGGAGATCCTTACAACGGTTCTGCTTATTCTTTAAAACCAAGGTGTTTTCCCAAATTAGATGGCAGAAGGAATCTGGGGCATTGCAAACTCTATTAATTTTAAAATACCTGTGTTAGTAAACAAACTCTTCAGTCTAAATCAATCAGGGCCCACTTCTGTAGACCTTTGAATGATTAGTTTATCAGGTGAAATTTGATTTGTATTGTTAAGACCTGGATCTGTGACAGTGAACTAGAAGGGCTGACTGTCTCATCAGGGAAATCAGAAGTGTCTGTTGGACTACAGAGACTCTGTTCGGTTGCTCTGTAGCTTTGCCGGGATGTTCCACCGAGGCAGATTAAATGGAACTGGGAATCCGTGTGTATGAGAGTGAGCCAGCATGTGGAGGAGCAGGACAGGCATCAGCTGTACCTTCCTGGGTTGTCCTCACGGACTTTCAGGGACCTGCTGGTCCACTCCAGCTGTTGGGTCCTTGTCTGGAGGATGACATTCTCCATGAAATTTGCTTGCTGGTCCGTCTGCCCTGCCATTTCACCAGAGGGCATCCCGTCATTTCCACACCCAGAAACTGTGTGGAGACCTCCTGCCTTTGTTGGTGTGAGATCCAGGGGAACAAGAGCAGGTCTGGTGCCGTGGATTCTGTGGTCACGAAAGGCAAATGCTGTCTCCGTCTGCTTGGTGGAGCTGTGTGACGGAATCCTGCAGACTGGGTTAGTTATAGAAAGAAAAGCCACTTATCTCCCACAGTTCTGGAGGCTGGGACCTCCAAGATGGAAGGGCTGCACGTGGCGAAGGCCTTCCCGTGGCGGAGGCCTTCTTGCTGGGAGGGGGATGACCTGTGGAGGGCTTCACCAAGCCAGAGGGAGGGCGCGTGGGCTGTGCTCAGGTCTCTCTTCTTCTCAGGCCTCTGGCCATCGACGTGATCTCATCCAACCCTCATCTCCTCCCAGGGCCCCACCTCCAGGCACCGCTGGCGTGTAAAGCTGGGGTTGTTTCCCACACGTGGATTTTAGGGGACACGCTCCAGCCACCGCAGACACCGTACTGTATAAAGAAGTCCCCAAAAGAAATGGAGACCGAGGCCATGTTTGGGTGGGCAGCTTGCTCCTGAGTCCTGAAGAAATGTCTCACCGCCTAGTGCTAGCTTTGACTCCGATCTTTTAAAACACAGGAATGAGCCGTCAGCCACGTGACCCGACAACCGCGTAGCCCGTGTGGGTTCTGCCAGTGAACAGGGTCTGGTCACCCTTTCTGGAAAGCAGTCTCCTCCGGCCTTTGGGGGTGGCGTGCTGTGCCCTGATGACCCTGTGAGCGCCACGCTGTGAGCCACTTGTCTGTGACGCTGCTCTGTCCAGAGGGTTCTCAGCTCCCAGTGGAGGTGCGGGGGGCTGCCCGATGTTGTCACTTTGGTGGCTGCTCATTTCCTGGGTCCCTCATGAGTCCCGAGCCTGAACCTGGAGGAGGTGCGCTCAGCCCTTCTCCTGGTCTGTTTGGAGCAGATTTTCAGGTTCGTTTCTAGTTTTGGATTGAAGCTGTGTACTGGGTTCACTCAGGAGCAGGCTGCCTGATCACACAGCAGGAGTAGACCTTCAGAGAACCGCGAGCGTCAGAGAAGAAGAGCAAGAGGGTCGCTGCTTGTTTCTGGCCTGCAGCAAGTTGCCTCCAGGGATCTGTCCTCAGGGAGCCTGGGGTCTTGATGAGGCAGAGAGACCCACCCAGCTTATATTTACTATACATACACTCAGCATCACCGAGGTTCATTGAAAGATAGCCATGGTCTACTTTTTCTGGAAGCTTCTAATGGAAAGTAGGTGCGAGTGGATGCCTCTGGCGGGACATCAATTTGCAAGGAGCTTCTTTCCAGAAAGTACTTACACAGGGAGCATGTTGCACTGCCTCGGTGTGGATTGTTGGAGTTTTCCTGAGCCCTTGTGATTTTAATTACTATTCTAATAAAATACCGATGTCCTTTCCTGTTTGTCTAGAAATGATCGTTAAAAGCAAACCAATGAAGGCTCTGGAACTTCCTTGAGCCTGGCTGCCTAACTTTCTTTGTGTGTGTGTGTGGGGAGATGCTGCTGAGGCCCAGAGCACAGACTCTGAAGCCAGGGGCTGCCTGGGTCAAATCCAGCTGTGCCCCGGGACCGGGGTGCCTGCTTGTCTCTGCAGACTGCAGACAGCGCCAGTGGTTGTGGGTGGGACAGATGACGTCTGGGGTTGGCTCCTGCATCGTGGGCACTCAGGCCTGCCCTCAGGGCGTGGAGTCTGGCTGGTCCAGAGCTTCAGTATTCACCAGGTGCTGAGGCCGCAACAGCAGCGAAGGGCCGGGGTGCAGTGGGAGAAGAGCTAGTGACACAAGACAGTGGGGGATGGCGAAGCGGAGAAGAACTGTCCCAGGCTTCCAGGAGGGCACAGTGCAGGAGGCCGGGGGCCAGCAAGTCTCTCTAGGCCTCCTGGAGGGTCTGACTCTATGCTTGGAGCCGTGGGTTTTCCTGAAGGTCCGTAAGCTGCAGAGGGACATGGTCAGGGTTTGCTGAAGGAGGGGAGGGCAGATGGGAGCTGTGGTGGCCACCCGTGTGATGGCATTGGGAGTGGCAGATGCAGGTGGGCCGAGTGTGCCTGAGCCCAGGTGACCACACTCATCACCGCTGACCGTCTCTGGGGAGGTCAGGAGGTGTCCAGGTCTGGGAGCTGGTGCCGCTTGTCTCTCCGGGGGGGCCAATCCCAGAGAAGGGTGACCTCTGAGGGGGCTGGCCCTGCGGAGTCTGCTGCAGTGGGCCGGGCTTCCTGCACTCGCAGGCGGGTTGGCCTCGTCCCGTTCCTCAGCGGCTGTTGGCAGAGCTGGCCGGCAGCTCACTGCACGTGGGTCTTTCAACAGGACAGTTCACTTTGGGCTGGTTTTGTGAAAACTAGAAGTGAGTGGGGGGGCGGTGAGAGGGAGAGAGGCAAGAGAGAGACACCCATGTCCTTGGCCTGAGGGGACCCACCTTCACGGGGAGACCACAGAGGAGCTGAGCACAGGAGATGGGACCCTTGGCAGTCATCTTGGAAGTTTGCCTGTTCCTGTCTCTGATTCTTGTGTCCCTCCTCTGGGGTGTCCCTGGGACCTGTTTCCTTTAGCTCACGGCCCTGCACGCCACACAGTGATTGAGCAGGTGGCATGAGCTCCCTGGAGGAGTCCCTTAAAGAAAAGGGGCAGACAGTGGCCTGAGTGTCTCAGGTGCAGTGATTGCAAGGGAGATGCCCCTTTGAGAGAACAGAGTCCACAGTGGAATCCAGTGTTTTTTTTAGTAAAACGTGACACATTGACTGGAGTGAACCTGTTGGCCCCTCCTGGATGGCAAGCCTTGGTAGAGGCACAGGTGGGACCTGCCTGCCCTGGGGCTTGGGGGATGTCCACCCCGGTGGCCTGGCTGTGGGGCGGAGCCCTGGAAGGTGCCCCAGCTCCCGTGGGGACATTCCCAGACCCACTCAGCTCTACTGTTCTAGGAGACTCAGCAACATGTTCTCAGAACCATGGCTGGAGGGCTTTGTGGGTACCTCTCAACTCAACCTTTAAGTAAATAAAAACTATGCTTGAAAAAACAGATGTCGGAGGTAGAGCGCTCGCCTGGCGCTTTGAGGCCCTGGGTTCCATCCTCAGCACCACATTAAAAAAAAAAAATAATGGTATTGACAACTACAACTAAAAAATAATTAAAAAAAAACCCAAAAAACCAACAAACAAAAAAACCCAGGTGTCCAGCCTGGTGGACCTGCAGGCTGTGGCTGTTGGCTCCTGATCTGTGGGATAACCAGATAAAATGCCCCTCTGTCCTGTTGTGAGTGGTCTTTAAAACACATTTGTGATTTTAGGGTGTGTCTTCTCACCCATGTCACAGTTTGTGCCCTGTACTGTGGATTGTTGGGAACCTGTCCAGGGGCTGTGGGAACTCGGATGAGAAGCTTGCCCTCTCTGGTTTGTTTTTAAAAACCAGCCACTGTGGACTAGGTTGGAGACACACCAGCAGCACAGGCTCCCAAGGTTTTAGGGGTGAGGGGCAGCTGGATCCCAGCATCGGCATTGCCAGGTGACAGTTGCCGTGGTGAAGAGGTGGTTCCTGCCCTGGCTGCAGCATCCCCGTGGTGTAGACTCAAGAGCGCCACCTACTTCACCCCAGTTTCCTCTTAAAAATGGGATGGCAGCACCCAGGACACGGAGGCCGCTTCCAGCAAGCACCTTTTGAGTGCTGTTCCTGGGCTCCGTGTTGCCTGGGGCAGGGGCCAGCTGGAGCTCTCCCTTGGGAGCAGGGGGCACCGGGCAGGGGCGCAGGGCATGGCAGCGGCTGCTGAGCCAGTGCCCTCTGCCTGGGGTGACGTGGGGCTCCGGCTGGGGCAGGGCTGGGAGCCTGGAAGCAGGCTTCCCGCTGCCTCCTGCGTCCTGCTGCAGAGTGTGGCCGCAGGGAGTCGTGAAGAGCTGGAGTGCAGAGGTGCTTGGTGACCGTCCTACCCCCGGCAGCCGGGGCTCGCAGGGCCCTCTGCAGCTGCTTGGCGGCCCCTCTTCCTTTGCTGGAGGCTCGCCTTCCCTTGCCCCGTCCCTTTCCCGTCCCCTCTTCTCCTTCCCCCTCTCTGTTGTCTCCTTTGTCCCATCTCCTTCCACCTCCATTTGGTGTGGAGCTTGACCTTCTGTGGCTGTGGGTGTCCGATGATGGGTATGGGGTGTACTTCCTTCTGTTGGGGTGCTCTGTACACGTCCTCAGTGAGGTCCCTTGGAGCAGAGTGTGAGTCGGGGATTGTTGGGTGAATGGTGGATGGAGGGAGGCTCTGTGGGAGGGCAGGGGACCCATGGGACAGGGACCAGGCCACCCCAACAGAGAGGCATGCAGCTGGATTTCCCATCCTCACCTCACAGTCTGTGCTGGGGCCAGGGGCAGTGTGAGCTGGGTAGGGGGCAGGGCTGGAGCCTATCCATGCTGGTCCTCCCTGAAACCCCACCTCCCTCCTGCCTTAGGCCCTGTTCTCTCTTATCCAAGCTTTCCCCATGGCCTGGGGTGCTCGGGCTCCCTGCTGGACCCTGGCCCTCTGTTTTCGGGCAGTTCTGCTGTGGGAAGTGGGCCTGACCCTTTGCTCCCTGCCTTTGCATTTCTGCTGAGTCCTGAAGTCGTTGAAAGCTATGCCCTGCGGGCGGGGTCCTGGACACTGGCTAATGCATCCCAGCTCCTGCTCTTGCATGTCCCTCTCTCTGGATAGCTCCCAAGCCTGGCCACGCCTTTGTGGATTACAGAAAGTGTCCCTTTGGGGTGGACCTGCTGTTTGGTGAACACTGAGCTCCCCCCTCCCCTCAGCCCTGAGCTTCTGTGCATGAATGTCCTGCTGTGTTAGCTTTTCATGGCAGTGACCAACATACCCGAGAAACGACCTGGAGGAGGAGAAGTTTGATTTTGGGCTCACGGTTCCAGAAGTTCCGTCCATGGTGGGTCAGCCCAGTGCTCAGGGCCTGAGGTGAGGCGAACCTCACCATGGAGGGCGCGGTGGAGGAACACTGCTCAGCTCATGACAGCAGAGAGGAAGCGAGGTGCCGGGGACAAAATAGGAACCGCAGGGGCACGCCTCCGATGACCTGCGTCCTTCAGTCACACCGGCCTGAGTTACCCCCCCAGCACAGCAGTGCTTTCTGATCGCCCCGTGACTGGCTTCCAGCTCCAGCGCTCTGATCCCAGCACTGCTGCTAATTCTGACATTAGCACAGGGACTTCAGGGGACACCTCGCCCCAGGCTACAGCACCTGCCAACGCACATGGCATTGCTGGGTGGCTTGGGTGCGGGGGCTCCTACAGGGGATCCAGTCCTGTGCCCAGCCTGCCCCAGGGTGTCGAAGCTCACCTGCTTTATTTCAGAGCCCCAAGGGCAGGGCTGGGACGGGGATGGATCTCCCTGTGCGGCCAGAGCGTGGGTATGGATGGCCTTCTTGTGCCGAGACTATAAATTTGTGTTAGTCAGGAACATGTAGGGGCTTGACAGATGCAGGAAGGACGTGGAGGGGAAACGTATTACTGGAAAATATGTCACCTAAAAAAGACTTTGTGACAAGATTTGCTTGTGACAGTCCTTGTGTGATATTGGGTGATATTTTGTGTGACTTCTGCTGTGACATCTTGGGCCGGCTTTATGAGAACTGTTCAGGGAGCGTGGAGGGGAGTGTGGCCAGGGAGGAAGAGCTGTGTCCTGGGGACTGTTGCAGCCTTGCTGGCGGGGCGGAGGGGGAGGAGGCACTTGGGGACATACCGCAGGGGTCAGGAGAATCAGGCTCTAGCACTTGGCTCCTCCCAACTTCTAGACCTGTGACCTTGAGCAACATCTTAACATCATCTCTCAGCCTCAGTGTTTTCACCCAAGTAATGGGTAAGACAGGAGAATCCCTGTGATAGGGACGGAAAGTGAGTTAGAGGACACTGTCACGGTGCCGCTCAGTGGTGAGGATTTCACGGTGCCTGTTGCAGGTTTCCAGGTCATGTCACAATCTGGAGACCTGGCTTCTAATGAGTCATCTCTCCTCAGGCTTGTGTTTCTCTGCTTCAGGCTCCAGGGAGGTTGTTGGAGGTTGTTGGAGGTTGTTGGAGGTCCTGAGCGCCTCTGGGTGCAGGAATGTCCTGTTGTTAATCTCCGCATGCCCTGCAGCAGCGTCTCCCTGGGTGCCTGGGCAGTAAATGTGCCCTTGGCTGGACTGAATTGACTCTGTGTTCCCGCTCACCTGCAGGGTGAGCTTAGCCCAGATGTGACAGGGAAAGGTTCTCGTTCCTCTGGCCTGAGTTCTGCTCATGGATTAGCGGAATTGTTATTTCATCTGGTCTCAAGGGCTTTCTGAGTAAGGCATGGGGCCTTTGACACCTGCTCAGTTGTCACAGCTTCTTTGGTGCAAAGGGGAGCTGGCTGCAGAGGGATGCTGAAGCTTTTGCCCTGCCGGCGGCAGTATGGTCACTGTTTGAGCTGTGCAAGGAGGTGGTCACATGACGCCTGGCCAGGCAGCAGCACACCCTCCTTCCTCCTGTTCTTGGCCTTGGAGTTTTTGTGTGCAGAGCTGGGAACACTAGTGCTCACGGCATAGGGTGAGGGTTAGATGAGCAGTGTGTGAAGTTTGCTGGCATTTCCATTCTGACTAGGTGTAGAATGAAGTTTAACTTTGGCTGTTTCCATGATGATGATGGGTGGTTGGTAAAGGTGTTGTTGGTGATGGTTGTGATGGTGGTGGTGGTAGTATTGTTTGTAGTAATATTATTTTTGGTTATGATTTTGGTGGTAGTCATGGAGGAGGTGGTGATGGTGTTGTACTACTGATGGTGGTGATGGTATTGATGTTGTGCATGATGTGATAGTGTTGGTAGTAGTGGTATTGGTAATGTGATGGTATTGTTGTGGGTGATGTGTTGATACTGGTGGTAGTATTGGTTGTGGTGGTGATGGTGTTGGTGTTAGTGATGGTGGTAGTGGTAGTGCTGGTGATGTTGTGGGTGATGGTGGTGGTGGTAGTATTGTTGATGGTAGGAATGGTATTGGTGAGGTGGGTGATGGTGGTGATGTTGATGGTGGCAGTGGTGGTGGTATTGGTGAAGATGATATGATGGTGGCAGTGGTAATAGGGTGGGGACAGTAGTATTATAGATGGTTATGATAGTGATGGTGATGATGATGGTGGTGGCCATGTTCATGGTGGTAGTAGTGATGGTGTAGTGTTATTGATGGTGGTGATGGTGTTGATAGTGGTGGTGGCAGTGATAACATGGTGGTGGTTGCGATATTGTTGATGATCGTGGTGGTGTTGATTGTGTTAGTGGTGGTGATGTTGTGGGTAGTGGTGCGTGTTGATGGTAGTAGTGATGGTGTTGGTGGTAATGGTGGTGATAGTATTACTGATGGTTGTGATGGTATTGGTGGTGGCAGTGTGGGGGTGGTGGTGGTGGTGGGTTGATGGTGGTGGTGCTAGTATCGTTGTTGGTGATGCTACTGAGTGTGCTGTTGTTGATACACTGTACCCTGGAGATGGAGTCTCAGCCCTGAATGCCGAAAGCCTGTGGGGCAAAGGCCTCGTGGGAATTAGCAAGGGTGGTATAGGCCTCATTTGTGGTTGGGAATTTTCCCAGAATACTGTCCTGGTGGAGGAAAGCTCTCTGTCAGCTGTTGGGGTTGGAGGGAGAGGGCTTCTCGGTAGTCAGTGAGCACTGGTGTTATTGGAAAACACTGTAGCTGGGTTCCATGAAGCAGCAGGAATCGCAGGGAAATGAGTGTTTTCCGATGTCAGAGCTGATGGAGGTTTAAAAGTTAAAGTGAAACAGAGCGGAGGGGCATTCATTTCCTGCTCAGTACATTTTAAATGCCGTGAGCGCTCGGGTCTGCTCCGCGTCCTGGTGGACACACTGGGGAGTCTGTTTGGGGCCAGGCTGCCTCCTGCCTCCCTCATCCTCTTCTGCTTTTGTCCCTTCAGCAGGAACTCCGTGCGCCAGCAAGTGGGCTTTATAGCTTCTCGCTCAGTATTTCTACCACCGAGCAAAAGCAATTTTATTATATGATGCTGTATTTTTATAGTCAGTTGAGGCGACTATTAAGATATAACATTGGCCCCCAGCAGCCCTGTGGGAGAGGCCCTGCCCTTACGAATCAGGGCCACCGAGTCCTGGACAGGGAGGCCTCTGGGGAGCACGAAGCCCCCCTTAGGGGACCTGAGCTTTGTTCCATGTTCTGCTCTTAAATCTGGAACTTTTCTTGTTCTTTATTATGGTAAAAAGTGTACCTTACGTAACATCCCCCGAGTTAGCAGTCCTGCTGCTTTTAGGTCTGCAGTCTTTGGCTTTAGGTCCCTTCACATTGTTGGGCCACTGTCACCACTATCCATCGCCAGAGCTTTTTCATCTTCTCAGAAGGCACTCTGTGCCCATTAAGCAGGAGCAGTGTCGCCCCCCCGCCCTGCCCCGGGCACCCATCTTTCTCCTTTCTGTCTCTGGGAATTTGACTGCTGTCAGGACTTCCTGTAAGTAGCATTTGGGTTTGACTTCTTTCACTTAGTGTGCCGTTCTGGAGTTCTTCTCTGCTGTGTCACGTATCAGTTTCCTTCTTGTTAAGGCTGAGTAGTATTCTAGGGTGTGGATAGACCATGTTGCATCCACTCATCTGAGGATAGACGTTTGGTGTTTTCCCATTGTTGGCCTATTGTGAATAGTGCTGCTGTTCACTAGCACATCAGTGTCTGTTCAAGTCCTTGTTTTCAGTTATTTCTGGTATAATCCTTGGCAGTGGAATTGTTATTTTCTTTTGGAGGACCCGTCAAAGCTTTCACAATGGATGATGAATTTAATCTTAGCTGTCATGCACAGGGATCCAATTTCTTCAAATCCTTACCAACACTAGATACTACATTTTTTTCACTACTTTTTAATAATAGGTACCCCAGGTTTCTTGAAGTTCATATATATATATATATATTTTTTTTTTTTGGGGG